AAGTTCCAGGACAGCCAGAGCTGTGATACAGAGACACCCTGTCTTGAAAAAACAAAAAACAAACAAATAAACAAAAGCTGCTGTGAAGCATTCTGAGAAGGCCACAATTGTACAGGGGACTCACACAATAAGATACACTTGTGCAGCAAACACAATACTTCTGTCAACACAAGCCAGACCTAATACCAGCATGTGAGCAACAGGAAGGGGAAATACCTAATACTAACTTTTCTTGCTTTCTTAAAAATGAGGAGGGCCTTGGGGGCAGTGACTTGGCTCTCTCTCTTGTAGAAGGTTCTCCAGAGTCTGCAGCCACACCTCTTTCCTCTGCTGACACTCGTGACTGGACTTGACTGCCAGTTTTAACTATATTTACAGCAGGTGGTAAATAACAGACTCGATAGTATATAATTTATAGATGAAAATCAAAAACCCTGTACCTCCAACCAAACACTGGCCCCATTTCTGTGTTTCTCCATAAGTAGTAAACTGGTTTCCTCCAGAATCAGCCCATTCCATTTTTAAATCCATTATAGAATATTCTGTCTTTCTCTGAATTATGCGCTGTTTTCCTCTACGTTTACTTATCTGTTACACTTATGTGTTCTAATTCCTTCTAGAAACCCAAAGGACAAGGCAAGCTCTTTTTCTATGACAATCCCCCCAAGTCCTCAGTGAGCTGTGATGTCCCAGGCAGGATGTGACCACGCCCACATCAGAGGCAGGACGTGACCACGCCCACAGCCGAGAACCCTGTGCTCACACAGAGGAAACCTCTCCAGCACAGATGCGCTCTCTTCTCACTAAGGTCAGAGTCGCTTAGCAGGCGACAGCAAGTCCAAGGACGTTCCAGATCCTCTTACATGTTCGTACAGCTTCTTCTTGAAGGCTACCCTCTGCACTGCGCGTTCACACATGATCTCCAGAATGCGTTCCGCCAAACCCACGGTTCTCATACAGTGGTGGATTCTTCCGGGTCCAAGGCGGCCTTGGGAAATTTCAAACCCCCTGCCTTCACCTGTGAGAAGGCAAAGAGAACATGAAGAGGGCCCAGCCAGTCCCTTTTAGCTACATGAATTCTAGGAAAAGCTGAGCTGCTCTTACTATGAACAGCTTTCTGGTGAGGAAAGAGACAATTTTGCAACAAAGTTCATTATGATGTAGGGGAGTCTGTCCCCTGAGTCAAGTATCAGCTGCTTTATTAGTGCCACAATAGCTGAAGCGCCGTCCCCGCCTTAGGAATCTAGTCTAGAAAAGAAAGGACCTGGCTAAGAGTGACACAGTGAGACAGGGAAGGCCAAGGAGGGACAGTCTGTCCTCCGCTGTAATCCCGGGCCTGTCAGGGGAAACGAGAGGGAAACCCACTCTTTGAAGGTTCGGGAGGTTTCCAGTAAATGGAAAGATGGAGTCATCTCAGGCATGTAGTGAACATTTAAACTTGTATTCTATTTATTCTCTCTTGGATCTGAATTCAAAGAAAGTATTGACATTTTCTTAAAACTAGTAGGGAGCCCCGACCATGCCTTTAGAAAAAGCATGTTGCTCTGAATTGGATAATGTTGGTATTCAGCTATGTTTCCAGCTGTTATAAAATATAAAGTATAAGTTTTACATAAAATATAAAATTCTCATTTAACATTCAGATAAAACCGTATTATCCTAGATAAGAAAAATATACAAAAGGAACATTTTCCTTGATAATTGGAATAAGATGGGAAGTTAAATTAAGACTGTATATCTTTTCTAGCTGCAGACCTGGGAACAGGAATACACATTACTGGGGTGTGTGTGTGTGTGTGTGTGTGTGTGTGTGTGTGTGTGTGTTAAATACTCACCAAGTATTAAATTGGTAGCAGGAACTCGCACACGATTAAAATGGACCTCCCAGTGCCCACCATGTACATTATCTACAAAACAGAAATAATTTAGAATCCAAAATGAGTTGAGCAAAGAAGTCATAGGCAGTGACTCTGCTATAAAGTATAATTAATTATCCAGTGAAAGGAGCATTTCAAAGACGATTATATTGCGGACATTCCAGGGTAGAACTCAGACCTCAGCCCACAGCACTTGATGCTACAGCACACTCAACTGATGGAGTTAGAAGAGGTCTCAGGAACTATTTGATAGATGTTTTTTAATCTGTCACCTGAAGCCGCAAGGCTATGGAAATGGAGGACCAGGTTCCACGGCACACATGTACATACCTGTGACCCAAAGGTCAGTTGGTTTGGGAGAAAAGATTAAAAAAAAAAATCTAAAAATTCAAAACAGGTGCTGGGGAGGCAGCTCAGCTGGTAGAGGGCCTGCCCAGTGCCATGAAGACCTGGGTTCAAATCCCCAACACCCACATAAATCTCAGGGATGCTTACGGACATCTGCAGCCCTAGCAGTGGTAGAGCAGAGACAGGCAGAGTCTGAGCTCTCTGTTTCCCGAGGACAACCTGCCCTTTCCACAGCATAGGCAACGAGGTAGGATGCTGTGCTGCCCCAGCCCACTTCTTACCTGCTCTGTCCGGACCTCCCCTAGCACCCGGAAGAGCTGATGGGGCCTGAGGGACTCCTAACTGCACTGCTGACTCCCTTTAGTGTTTCCACAGGCGCCATCTTCCTGCGTGCGATGCACGG